GGAGGGAAATTCTACTATTGTTATGGTGGTCTACTAGAAAAGTTGCTCCGATGAAGACTCCATGATATCTGCTCTAGCTTCATCAACATAGTCACCATCACTATTATCTGGGTCTGAGTCAGTGTCGTCGATGATGATGTAGCTCTCGGGACAAGTGCATTCTTCGTCTTCTCCAGTTGCTGGAAATCCCATGAACACTCTTAACTTCTTCTTCAGATCATCATTTTTCTCGACTAGCGTTGTTATTTCCTCCTCATATCCATCGTGTGTAGACTTAAGTTCTTCCTCCAGTTCCGTGATCTTGGTCATGGCTTTCTTCAGATCCATCATGCCTGCACACATCTGGTTCTCCTGGTGTCGAATGTGCTGGTTTAACTCCTGGATAAAAGTTGCAACTGATCTGTCTTTCCTGGTGCTAATCATCTCCCATTGCTCATCTCGGCACCCACAAATCTGGTAGGTGGTATCCTTAAGCTCCTGGTGATAAACTTCTCCAATGCGTCCCATGGTGATGTGAGCTGCCATGCTCTTCCCTAAACTCCAGGTTGGTGCATCAAAGGAAAACTCTATAGGCTCAGTGACTGGCATGAACGTTCTCCCTGGAACTTGAACTTGAATCATCTAGCGCTCCTCTTCAGGTAAGGTGGCATTGTAGGTTCCGGTGAAACTTGGTACTCCGGTCTTCAAGTACTTGGTTACTTCCTTCAGATGTCGTCCAAAGGGTGTATCTTCGCCCGGTTGCATGAACTTGTTCTTTGCATCCGCCATCCTAGAAGAATAGAAAAGATGAGGAGTTAGAATGAGAGGAGAGAGTAGTGATCTATGGCTTTTGCTTAGTGGTCGTGTCCTACAGTCAGCGTGTGCTCTGATACCATCTTGTAGCGACCAGACCTCAAACAGTCTGATCTCTGTGCTTCAGTGTCATCCCTGGATTAGTAATGCTGACACGCACAGTACTTGAAGGATTTATAATAGAGTAGCAATCACACACTTATTACATCGAGTGTCTCCAAAGATAACTTATTACAATAAATATGGCTTAAGGCCATCTAATAACGATAACAGCGGAAGGCTTGGAAGATAAGTGAGTCCATCAACTCCAACGACATCACTGAGTATAGAACCATGATCCTAAAGCATCTTACTCGTCGTCTAAAAAGTCTGCAACATTAACGTTGCAGCCCGAAACGGGTCAGCACATGGAATATGCTGGCAAAGTAACACATAGAGAAGTAATGAAAAGAGTGAAGCTATACTACATGCATATATGGCTTGGTGGATAGCTCTATGGTTACAATTTTGCGTAAAGCCAGTTTTTTCCTACTACAAAGGAATAAATTTATTTAACTATCATGGTGGTTGTTAAACATTGGGAATGGTTGACAGCATCCTCAATCCCAATTAAATATCATCATTAAAACCCAACAATATTAATTAAAGTAACATGTTGAGATACACATGAAAATCCAGGTACTAGATACTCAAAACGTCCATAACCGGGGACACGGCTAATAATGATTAGTTTGTACACTCTGCAGAGGTTGACCACTTTTCCCCACATGACTTGATCTCCTCCGTTGGTTTTCTCGCACTACATGGTGTTTGAGAAATGGATGACCGAGACATAGTCTTTCAGAAGCGCTAGCACCTTACGATGGGTAGACCGTACCAACCTACATCCCCTACATTTGCTAGTCTACCACTGTAAGAGTTCGCACAACTTAGTCAACTATGCTAGAGCCCATAATAGCATGTGGCTGCACACGGAAGTTTCTAGCATGAATAATCTTATGATCCCTTTGAGCCTGGGTGGCGGTCCATAAAAAAAGGCAATCCTGGTCTACCCAGGTGCCTAGACAGGCAATCCTGGAATAACTAGGTACCTCAATCCACCCAGATGTGTATTAATGTTGCCACCTTAAATAAACCATTAATTAACAATCTCACATCTGTCATGGATATTCACTCACCCAATCCACGTCTACTAGCATAGCATGGCAAAATAAGCAAACGTAGAAGTAACTCCCAAGGGTTTGATAATAAAACAGGTCATAGGTACTACCTCAAACTACTTCCCAAAACCCACAATTTAATTTGATCCTAATCATGCAATGTTTGAGGATAAAACTAATGCATAAAAACTGGGTAATAAGGGATATGATCAAAGTGTTACTTGCCTTGCTGATGATCCGCATAACCTAGGGATTCAAAGTAGCAAGTGGCTCAATCCGGGTACTCTATCGCAAGTAAACAAACAAACAAGCATACAATAAGTACTCATCTAATGCACGGGTAAAACTCAAATAAGAGGTCTAACCAGAAAGTTCAACTTAAGAACTCCGGTTTGCAAAAAGAAACAAATTGATCGAAGAAACAAAACTCAAACGGCGAAAAAAACAAGCTTCGATTACTAATATGGACCTAAGTCAAATTTTACAGAAGCAAAAACTGGTTTGAGTAGATTATTCGAAAAGAGGGTTTCGAGACGAAACTCTAGGCGTTTGAATCGCCTGATTTCGATAAACGAGCGAAAAGTTATACTAAAACGAAAATCGGATCAGAAATCACGATCAGAAAAATCGCGGATTAAATCCGAGAAAAAGAAAAACGACGAACAGATTAACGAACGAACGTTCGTTATCTGGATCTAAACGATGAACGCGTTCGTTAAAACGAATGAACGTTCGCTATTTAACCTAAACCGAGAAAAAATAGATCTAATAATAAAAAAACAAAACTAAAAAAAACCGGCGAAAAACCGACGGAAAAACCGAATGGTTTTCGAGAAAATCCGGCAGCGCGGAAAACGAGGCACCTCGGGCGGCGGGTCGACGACGGCGACGGGCAGCGTCTCCGGCGAGGCGGCGGCGGCAGCTGGCGGCGGCGGATCGGGCGGCTAGGGTTAGGGTTCGGGGGCGCGCGGGTGGGCTGGCGGCGGCTGGTGGGCTGGGGCGGCTATTTAAAGGCTGCCCCCGGGCGGAGTCCCGCTCGGGTACGGCCCGAAGTCGGTTCCAGTTTTTTTAAAAAAATAATTATCACGCAGAAAAACAAACGAAAGAAATACTAAACGGACTCCAAAAATCCCAAAATAAATTTTTCCCGGCTTCTAAAATCAAGCCGGTTTAGATGAACATTTATTTGGGCCTAAATGCAATTTTGGAAAACACGCATTTTTCCTAAATTCAAATAAAATTGACAGAAAAATTCAAAATAAAATCTTATTCGATTTTTTCTATTAAATCTTCAATTTTTCTTTATTTTGGGAAAATCATTTTATTCCGTCTCTCATATATATATATATATTTGAAATAATTGAAGATAAAATAAATAAAATCAAATGATCCTACTTTCAAAATTTGAGAAAACTCAAATATGAAGATATCGAAATCCCCAACTCTCTCCGTGGGTCCTTGAGTTGCGTAGGATTTCTAGGATCGAAACCAAATGCAATAAAAATATGATATGCAATTTATGATCTATGTATAACATTTCAAATTGGAAATTTGGGATGTTACATATTTAGACATTTTGTCAAGGTTGGGTGGGCTCGGGGCAGGCATGTCATGACCTCTCCTCACCCTTGCAAGAGATGACTTGTGGGGACTCGAGCTGTCAGGAGAGGCTTGACAATGATAAGACTTGTTGGAACCGTCGCTCACACGAGCACAAACAACAAATATAGAAAGTTATTACTTTCTACTAGATGTTTCTGAACACTAATGTAGTGTTAAAAAATGTCTTACATTATGGGACGAAGGGAGTAGATTTTTGTCACTAGAACCACTCTCACAAAAAGAAAGGTAAGACACATAAACCACAACCGAATTATTAGACCTAGTTTGCTTATCTGGTTGGATCACAACACATATGGAATTTGTTTTTCAGAAAATGAGATGAAAATTGGAAACATAACATGTGTGTGCAGACGAAATCAGAAAGCCATGGCCCAAACTTCCATGGTCCACCTCGCCCTCTTGTGGCATATTTAGCACAGGGAAGTGAGAGAAGACATGTACCCCTATGGGGTGTGTTCTTATGTTTTTTTGTGTGTGTTTTATGTGTTTTGTGTTTGAGGCAGTGATGTATGGAACTAAAGTCTCACCATTCTATCTCCATCATGGCGTGGATGTTGGCAATCACTAGTCTAGTTTGTGCAAGTTTAATCGCCCATAGTTCATCAGCAAAGTCATCACGGAGCGTCAAAATCTTGATGTTTCAGTTTTATAAAAATCTTTATTGTCTGAATTTGTTGCAATGAGCATATATCTGATGTAAGTTGGATCACATAGTACAAACCTGCACAAAAGGTGAGATGGCTATCGAGAAAGAGCATTCTGAACTATCAATCTTGCCGGCCACTAATCACCTAAAAACAAATCTTGCAGCTGACCGGCCACCAAGACAAATATTTGATCAATTTTACACTGAAACTCATGTGATACAATATCATGATCACCAGCTAATACTTTTGAATAAAAATCTACTCCCTCCGTTCGGAATTACTCGTCCAAGAAATGAATGTATCTAGATGTATTTTAGTTGTAGATGCATCCATTTTTGTGACAAGTAATTCCGAACGGAGGGAGTAATACCAATTTTATACCATGTAAAATACATATTAGCAGAGAAATTGTTGGTCCAAGTTTGTCCTAAACCAAATACATGTTACATTTTGTTCAAAGTCTCCATATCATTTTTCCCTGAAGGTCAAACAAAATTTTAGCTCAAACAATCAAAATCTTTCACAATAATAGATATATCAAAAATTTACACAAATACTAAAGCAGAATAACAGGCAAATCCGAAGACATGATTTTATACAGTACGCGGGATAATAACTATTTTGCACCATCCACAAAGCATCTGGTTTCAACTCACTGATTTGTTTGTTGTCTTTCCTTTCCTTCGGTTTTAGAGGCAAAAGTAGTATACAAAAAGAAGAAATACATCAAAGCAGGTCCAGAGATACAACAAAGCACATCCCCTATTTTCCAAAAAGGTCATATGAAATTGCATAGGAACTCTTTCATCCGATCGATGTAGGGTGGCCGGGTAGGGATGATATGCCCCATGTCATGCTCAAAGATGGTGCACCGGCCCTCCTCAAACATGCCAGCAAGTTTAGTGCTTGCCCTGCTTGCGATCTGCCTGTCATGACCTTCACCGCCGCCGAAGAAATGGAGCGAGGGGAGCCTGATTGGCTCTCTGTCAAAATCGCCAACAGGTGCTGGATATCCAGAGCAGAATATCCCAAACCTGAACTTTGGAGATCCGCAAGTCTTCTGCTGCTGCCTGCACAGTAAGGCAGCCATTGCTGCACCCTGGGAGAAACCGAGAATGCCATCAAAGTTGCCGTCCTGAGCAATTATACTTTCAAGGTATGCATATGATTGTTTGAATCCATCTGTTTGTTCCTGATACTGAAGGGGGTCAAACGGTGCATCTGCAATCTTCCAATCTTGCATGGTGTGGCAGCTCATGTTCGGAGAAACTAGCCATGCGAATTTTGTTTTCGCTGTGCCAGATGGAGGTGAGGGTTTGTCGGAGCAGACATCTGGATGTGGTTGGTATACAAATGAAAGCTCATGAGGAGCGTCTATAAAGACAAGCTCCGCGATGTGCTTCAGCTTCTTCGCAAGTGATGATGTTCTTCCCTTAAAGTTTGAAGAGTTCTGACGAAAACCGTGCAAGCAGAGAATCCTCAACTTTTTCAGCTGCTCACTACCTGGTACATCATTTCCACAAGTTGTAATACTAACACTCAGACAAAAATACTAACTCGGAAGCAATACACAAGTACTGACAAAAGCTAATACTATCTCAGACAAAAATGAATTGAAGACTACAAACGAGTTGGTTGAAAAAGAAATAGGCTCTTCAAACTACAAGTGGAAGTTCGTGAGGAGAAAACAGGAGAAAGACATCAACATTTGTTGCAACACTGTCAAAAGCTGCATGTGTGCCATGCTTGATGCATGCGCCAGACAGACCTTCCATTTGACCAATGCTTTTATCTCTTTGCTCCGGAGCAATACACGGGTAACGACCAGTTAAGTTAGTACAGAAGCTTGCTACCACATGGAGTTCATTTTGACCCCATAGGTTTCAAATACTCCCTACAAAATTAGCGAATATACGGCGCGTTACTCTTTCTTGCTGAGCGCCACTACTTTAGTTCTGCCTACATAGTTGCTCTCTACAAAATTAGCAAGTCTACTGTGCATTACTCTTTCTTGGTGAGCAACACTTCTTTAGTTCTGCCTACATAGCATATGGACTTCTAGGTTGGGCATACTTGATAATATCTTAAATAGCCAAACATCACAATGACACAAATGCAAATTGATACAGACCTTACCATTACTCCCGGGAGCTTTAGAGGTTGAAATTTTGTTGCTTATGGATAGCTTTCCAATGTCAGAAGGTTCAGATAGCTCTGGCTCTGCTTGGCAGTCTTGCTTTACAGATATTTCACAGCACTGTCTTCCATTCTTTAGACATAGTTCACATACATACTCCTTAGTAGAATCCTGGAGAAGAAAATGTTTACAAGATTTAGCAGACACATTCTGGCATGATGTCATCAATAATGAAATTAAGGTGATTAGCAACAATTTAGAAAACAATATAAAGCATGTCATCTTAGGTACCTGACATGTGAAGCACACTAAGACCAACATTCTGCACTTGCTGCAACGACACCGAGAGGAATAGTCATCATAGGTAGATCCACATACCAAACAAGTTCCAAGTATGTTATCTTTATTGCTTCCCACAGAGATTCTGTTAAACCATATTGAAACAAGTTAAGTAACTGAGTTACTATGAAATAGTTCGAGGGTTCGAGCACAAAGTTCAGCACTAACCTATGGTCAAATACAAAATTCTTTCCATCAAAATAGCCACCATCTGGATATTGCTCCAAATATCTCTGAATGCCACCGTATAACTAACGCAAGCACAATAATAAATGATCATAAATAATGCAAAGTACGATATCATGGTGAATATGTACTAATGTCTGAAATCTCAAAATTAGCAACCCAAGGTGCAGCTTACTTGAAAAACATTCTCAAAGCCTTCACCTTTGGAGCGGATATAAGCTGAGGCCATCTCACACCGTATACCTCCTGTGCAGTACCTGAAAATACCAATAAGGTAGTTACTTAAATTGCTTGCTAAATGTGTTGCCTAAACTCTAAAGCAATGTATAATTCGAAGACCTGGCCATACATACATCATAATTGATTTACCACGTAGCCTCTCAGTATGCTCATCTATCCACAATGGCAAGTCGCTGTATTGTCTGATCTCAGGATGCAGCGTCTCCACATTTGGTACATGAAACTTGCCGATCCGCGTCTCATACAGATTCCTTGCGTCCAAAACAACCACATCATTCTGCCCCGCAGGCGCCTCGGTATCCGAACCAGTTCCTGCTAAAAGAACAATCCAACTTAGCATCAAGCTCTTGATTAAACATCTGTGTTTCACGGCAAGAGAATGATCTCACTACTAAGCAGAGTGTAGGTCACATTGACAGCCAGATGTATGCAAGCTTTCGGTTTGAGAATCAACCCACCCACACTTTGAAGCACCGAGTGGAACTCAGCCGCTGACAAATGCCTCCCGGCGAATGAGATATCGGGGGTTGTCAATGATGGGTTGGAACAAAGCGTAACCAGCTCCTGCCAATTCCAAGAACAGCAAAAGACACAATGTAATCGATGAGACTTCACAGTGCTACACGAGCTCTTAAATGGTGAAAACATTTGCCTTGTGAGGGAGAAGAGGACCTTGACGAGCCGAACGGAGAGGTACGTGAAGCCGCACTCCCTGGCGACCCTCTTGTCCACAGGGTCCTCGCAGGAGGCCAGCTTGAAGTCGGTCCCGTCGAACAGGCTGTTCGAGCTCATCTCCTCGATGTGCTTCTCCAGCGCCGCCATTCTTCCCCCGAGCTACCAGCACAAAATGTGGCCACAAATTCAAGCACCCACCACAAGCCATGCGGGAACCCGCAAAACACGGCGCCCTTAGCGGGGGGAGAACTAGAAAGAGGTGGACGCTCACCGTGGCATTGACGCCGTCGGGGCCGACGCGGACGCGGCCGACGAGCGCGAGAGCGCGGCAGCGGGACTCGTAGAAGGCCGCGAGCGCGGGGGCGTCGGGGACCTCGGCGTACTTGTAGTACAGGAGCACGCCGTAGCTGCCGTCTCCACCGCCTCCTTCCTCCTGCTTGTGCTCCTCCTGAGTCGATGTCGGCGGCAGCGCCGCCGTCGCGTCCATGGCTACGAGTACGACCACGAGCCGCAAAACCCTAGGCGGCTGGGGCCGGAGGAGGAAGAAGACGGAGAGGCCGGCTTTCGCAGAGCCTGGCCCATATTGATTGAGCGCGCGGCCTCTACACACAAAAAAAAGGCCCACCGAAGAGCCCGGCCCGTTAACTACCTTATCTGCCCACGTTTCATTTCGCTTCGCGTCCCCAGACCAAAACCCCCGCGAGAACCTTCCTCCTCTTCTCACCCGCGACCGTCGCTCATGGAGGCCACCGCCGCGTCGTCGCGGCCTCTCTTCCTACTCGCGCCTTCGCCGCCGCTGGTCAGCACGGTGCGCCTCGCCCTTGGCGTGGGGAGGCGCCGGCTCGTGGCCGCGGGGGCCAGGAAGAAGAGGGGGCGGCAGGACGGGGAGGCCGGGGAGGAGAGGGTGGACGCGCACAGCTTCAACCCCAAGGCCGGCGAGGTCACCGGGCCGTTCCCCGAGGCCGTGCTTCTCAGAAAGGTGCGTGTGCTCTTAGTTGTGCTGCGGGCAGTTACACTAATTCTGTAGAGCGTTAGCATTTGTGTGCGTAGAATTTTGACGTTAGCTTATGGATGATGAACTCCCTGAGCATTGACGAATAGCAAATATGTCATGGTTGCTAGTTTGGTGAAGTAGGCAGATTATTCGGTAGACCTTGGACCAAAAAGGCAGGCAGATTATTGGAGGCAATAGATGGTATTTGTTGCAGCTTTCCGTATCTGAATTCTGAATGTGCTATCATTCTGTGCTCATAGTCTTCAGATTGCAGTATTTGTTATTTCTGAGAGCCTGTGTGGCACTGTCTTGTATTATTTTTGTTGAATTAATAGTGAGCATTGGTAGATCCACAAGTGTAGCTTCATGATGATGTTTCTTGGGCTGAATGGGATTCACTCACAATGATTGAATTCTACTGATACAATCTGCAATGTTTCTATTTTGCTAAAATGCTGGTAACTCTCCCTCATGCTTGGCATTTGGTCTGTCAACTTCCATTTGGACGAAAGACCATAGAGTGGCCCAGATTTATCTGAAAGCGATAAAAGTAGTCTTTCTGCTGGCATACCAGCTTACAAGTAGGGCCCACGAAAAGAACGGGCTGGAAACCCTGAATTGACCAACTAGGAAATCAGGCCTCAACACCAACCGACATTTAGCCTGCGGCAAACATACCGACAAGTAACAGGAATAGGCTGGAAGTCATTAGACAGGAACTTACTATAAGCCAGCAAACAGACCCATAAACAACTGTTGCTACTCAACGCCGTGTCTAGCATGCGGCTCCCCTCCAACAGCAATTAAAACTTCTCCTTGGCTCCTTCGGTTGCTTGCGGTTATCTTGCAGGAAGCAGCAAACTCAGTTGATGCATGGGAGAAGCATAATATCAATCTCTGAACACCATAAATCGTTGCTATTAGCCAATGGATAGAACTATCATTGCTAAGACTCAAATGACAGACAAATTGTAATAGTTATATTTATTTTCATGTTTGTTTCCTTAAATAGGTATTTTTCAATATTTATTTTATTTCTTGAGAAGAAAGCGAAAAATGTGATCTATAGTTGACTATGCTTTTTTATGCTGATTGTTTTGCAGAAAAAGGTGAAAGAGGATGGTGAAGCTTTGCCAGAATTCGCGGATGCCGAAGAAGGTGATAGGCATTTTGCATTCAATTGGTCCTTTTTGTGGTTGATGACTTGATGTAAATACGCATCTGTCTAATCCGACTACATTTACAGAAAAGCTATACGAGCTTCTTAACATTCAGCTAGAGAGTGGTTTAAATCTGCAAAGAAGTAAGACCTCTTCCCTTTCCTCCTTAATCAAAATAAGTTTAATTGGTTATATATGGCGGCATCATTTGCACGCCTGTTTAGATGTGGTGATCTAAGATCAGGATAATGAACTTTCTCCATCATTTTGCAGTGAGGCACTATGAAGTTGTTTACCTCATTCACGAGGACCGCGTAGAAGAAGTTGAAGATGTTATATCAAAAGTACAAGGTGCATTTCTCAATACTCACGCGTCGTTACTCAGTTGTTCAAAGATGTGCATTTGTCCACATGTTGTTTCTATGTACTTAAATCCTCAATGAGTTAATCTCAGTCATGATGAGTATGACAAACTTCCATGTTATGGCGGCAAGGGTTTGACAGTCCCCTGGAGCCATGGCCTGCTAAAGAATACTCCTGTCTGGCTGATTTGCTAACTTTAATCGCCTAAAACATACTATTTGGGGTATTTCAGTTCTATCGAGGATTTTGCTGCTGTAAGGTATGCTATAAACTATGTTCTTCATTCTATTGTAGACTTTATCAGAGAGAAGAAAGGAAGGATTTGGAGGGTGAACAACTGGGGACTGCGCAGACTTGCTTACAAGATAAAGAAAGCAACACATGCCAACTACATCCTAATGAACTTTGAGATACAAGCACAATCCATAAACGAGTTCAAGACTCTGCTAGATAAGGATGAAAGAATCATTAGACACCTTGTGATGAAACGAGATGAGGCGATTACTGAAGATTGCCCTCCTCCACCAGAGTTCCATGCAATGTGATCTCAACAGTTGGATGACGAGTATATTGATGAGGAATATGGGAGGGTGGACGATGGGGATGATGAGGCTGAACTAGAGTCTTCTGGCAATGTTGATGATGACGTTGAAGATGGCGATGAACCTGAAATCATTCTTGTTGATGAAGTTGATGATGACAATGCCGAAGACCTCAGAAGAAGAAATAGGAAGGTGAAACTGGAGAAGTATACGGCGGAGAAGGTCTTGAGGTAGCATGCGTATCTACTGTATGGTTTAGTTCTTATACAAAGGAACACTTGTACGACGAAGTAATTACATTAGGTGTTTTCCCTGTACCGGTGACCACTATTACGATGGTAGTAATTAGTGAGATAAGCTCATCAGGTCTTCTCCCTAAATCTTGAGCTGTTGTTGTTTTTCCAAATTATATGGTATGATCATTCCCTTGTAGATGCATTTTTTTAGTACACCTTTTTATTTTTTGAAATGCATCAAAAGCCAAAATACCATAGTGGGTTAAAAAGACAAATTTAAGTAGTAATTAGCACAACTCTTTATTGTGAAACTCATGCATCCTTTTATTGACTTAATTTGTAAAACTAATTGCCAAAGTTTGTACAAATCCAGATGCTTGGTTGTTGGAATAGATGCTTTCATTTTAGCAGTACATAAGAAGAGCTGGTCTATAATTTGGTCAAGATGCGCTTTTGTTACTTCTGATGTTCTCCTTGTTTGAGTAGACTAAGTTTTTTCTATGCATTCAGTTTGCTGTTGACCTGTGCGTGACAAAATGCTTAGTGACTGGTGAATTCCTTCAATATTTATATTCTGCATGATAGTTGCTGAATTCCTCTGCAGGTCCTCATGTTTGCTGGACTCTATCAGTTAATTAAACCATGGTAGCATATGCACCGTTTGGTTCATATTGTTACTCCAAAAATTCAGCATATCTTCATCATTTATCCAGACACTCTTAGAAACTTTTTGCTTTCATCTGTACAAGGTACTAACATTTCCAGCTGCATTTAACGGAGTACAGTGCTGGGTATTGACTTGTTAAACTCATGACATGATCTAACCAATATGGTGGCAATCTAGCAATGTGGAAGATGATTGGCTTGGTATGCAAACTTCACGAATGATCATACCTTAATACTGTTCAACAGTTGTTGGTAGGTGTCCTCCATGCTCAATAAAGGCTGAGATGATTGAGTGGATTCGCAAGCAATAACTAGCAATAACTTTGGTCGTAGAGAATTCTTGTTCATGCCCCAACTTGTTTGTCGCTGGTCTCCTGCAAGTTTTTCTATCAAATAGAGACTATTAAAATTTGCAATTTACCATCAGTGAACTTATCTGTGCATGATTCTGACCATTTTCCTTCAAATGTATGTAGTCATAATGCATCTCTCTGAATTTGGCATACCATTTTGTTCTGTCACTACTTTGTACTCCCTCCGTCCCATAATATAAGAACGTTTTTGACACTAGTGTAGTGTCAAAAACGTTCTTATATTATGGGACGGAGGGAGTATGTTGCATTTAGGACTTGTGGCGTGAGTTTCAGACGATCAAGACTTGGAACTGGTTATGGGTAAATTTTCTTCAATTACCTTACCTAAGATTATCAATACTTGCTGTTGATTGCTGGGACCTTGTTGATTCACTAGCTTATGTTGCCATAATTTTCTCCATGCCTCAATGCCAAGCAGTTGGTTCCAAATTTTCTGCTGACCGGAGAATTCTCAATTGGGAATAATAAAATCATTCTGCATTGCTTAGATAATTTAGCGAGTTGCTTCACTTATTTGCTATTTGCCGTATTGTGCGGTGCATTGATGAGCCGAAATCGGTGTAGGACTGTCCTTATACTGGTACTGTTGCTGCGCATTTATCCTGCACTTTGCTTTCAACAGCGTATCTATGATCTGGAAACTTTGATCGCTTCTCGTGGTCCCCTGGATCCATCTGATAATGATCTGGAAACTTTCAATACCTGCTGGTAAGCAATGTCATCTTGTTGATATGTTGGCCTGTTTTGGTGATATAATCTGAAGAACCTTCAAGCAAATTCCGACTTCAGACGCAACGTGTTTGGCATGTACCAACTAATTATGTCCACCAACTTTGTACAGACAACTTATTGGATCTTTTTCCTAGTTCATCATAAGCTGTAGCAATGAGCACAGATTCCCTTTTAATATTATGGCCATAATGTGGAAAGCCCCATGACTTTCTGTCCAATCTCTGATTCCTGCTCTGGTTAGGGGCAATTTATCGTCGCGGGCTGTCAGCCACTACCTAACTACTTTCTCCTGTTCATTCAAGACAACACTTTAGCACAATCTTTTCTGTATCAGAAGAAACTATCCAGGCTATGGCAGAAGAACTATCTCGGATGTCGGAACTGTTTAGCCCCCAAAATCCGTGTGATCTGGAGTAAGGT